GCAGTTTAAAACTAAATTTTCAAAAAAGATTTTTTATATACAGGGTGGTCCAAACTGTATTCCGGAAACTTCGGCAGCATATTCTGCAGACAAAAATAAGTAAAAAAGTTCGTATAAATATATGTCCTACACTGCTTAGTTTCGGAGATACAGGGTGTAGAAGTTTCATTTTTATTTCGATTTTTTCCAATTAATTTCTGAAGTAACGTCAATATTTGGCTGAAAATTCATATCTGGGAGTTTTTTGACATGAAAAATGTGATTTTGATGTCAATATGACTCTTATTTGTAGGGGGCGCCACCTACATGTGTTTTAACTGTTTTGAAAAGTAATAACTTTTCGCCCATACCTGTATAAAACTACTGAGTAAAAAATATACATTTTCTTGATATTTTACGTAAAAGATGTCTCTTGGTAAAAATCGGTACGAGCAACCTTTCTCCAGATATTTCGAATGGAAATAGACAATACATGTCATTATTGACAAAAAAATAAACATGTTGAGTAGATAGATATTTGGCTGAAATAAATGGTGGGAAATTTTTATTTTTTTAAATTAATCTTAAATTTTTCTGCGGAAAAATGATGATAAAACAGTTTCTGTTGAACTTTTGACAAAAAAAAATTCAAATTTATGATTTCAGTCTAGTAACTATTTAGTCCACATGTTTAATTTATGTCAATGATGGCAGGTATTGATAATTTCGATTTAACCTAACCTAAGCTAACCATTACTCGTAACAATTTTTACAAGAGACCTTTTTTACGTAAAAATCGTTATAAATGAATATTTTTTTACTCAGTAGTTTTATACACGTACGGACGAAAAGTTATTACTCTTCAAAACAGTTAAAACACATATATGTGGCGCCCCTTAGAAATTAGAGCTATATTGACATCAAATCAATCCGTATATAAAGGTCATATTGAAGAAGAATCAAAGTATAAATAAATAAAAAATTTTAAGCGTCGTAATTGTCAAATTTGACATTTTCAAGAATTTTAAAATTCGAAAATTGTAAACTGGATGAGTAGCTTAAAATAATGCTAAACATTTCATTTTTAAATGCACTGTATATCTCGAAAACTGTAGGCGCAGAGTATACTAAACTATATATTTTTGAAATTAGCTAAAATGTGTCTACTGGACCATGCTAAAATATGATGGGGTTTCCATTTAAAAAAAATCAAGATGGCGTCGTATCTGTCAAAATTGACGTTTTACAAAATTTTAATGTAGAAAATCGGCATCCACGCGAAAAATTACATTTAATAATCTTTTTACTATTTTAAAATAGAAAAGAGGAAAATTTTAATATGGGTGAGACACTTAAAATGATTCTGGAACAATTCATTTTTAAATCCACTGTATATCGAAAACGGTAAGTGCAAAGTATACTAAACTATATATTTTTGAAATTAGCTGAAATATGTCTACCGGACCATGCTAAAATATGTAGGGGTTTCCATTTAAAAAAAAATCAAGATGGCGTCATATCTGTCAAAATTGACGTTGTAAAAAATTTTAATGTAGAAAATCGGCATTCTCGCGAAAAATTACATTTAATGATCTTTTTACTATTTTAAAATAGAAAAGAGGAAAATTTTAATATGGGTGAGACACTTAAAATGATTCTGGAACAATTCATTTTTAAATCCACTGTATGTCGAAAACGGTAAGTGCAAAGTATACTAAACTATATATTTTTGAAATTAGCTGAAATATGTCTACCGGACCATGCTAAAATATGTAGGGGTTTCCATTTAAAAAAAATCAAGATGGCGTCGTATCTGTCAAAATTGACGTTTTAAAAAATTTTAATGTAGAAAATCGGCATCCTCGCGAAAAATTACATTTAGTAATCTTTTTACTATTTTAAAATAGAAAAGAGGAAAATTTTAATATGGGTGAGACACTTAAAATGATTCTGGAACAATTCATTTTTAAATCCACTGTATATCGAAAACGGTAAGTGCAAAGTATACTGAACTATATATTTTTGAAATTAGCTGAAATATGTCTACCGGACCATGCTAAAATATGTAGGGGTTTCCATTTAAAAAAAATCAAGATGGCGTCGTATCTGTCAAAATTGACGTTTTAAAAAATTTTAATGTAGAAAATCGGCATCCCCGCGAAAAATTACATTAAAATATCTTTTTACTATTTTAAAATAGAAAAGAGGAAAATTTTAATATGGGTGAGACACTTAAAATGATTCTGGAACAATTCATTTTTAAATCCACTGTATATCGAAAACGGTAAGTGCAAAGTATACTAAACTATATATTTTTGAAATTAGCTGAAACATGTCTACCGGACCATGCTAAAATATGTAGGGGTTTCCATTTAAAAAAAATCAAGATGGCGTCATATCGGTCAAAATTGACGTTTTAAAAAATTTTGGTATAGAGAATCGGCATCCTCGCGAAAAATTACATTAGAAAATCTTTCTACTATCTTTAAATACCAAACAGGAAAATTATAAATCGAGTGAGACACTTAAAATGATGTCCCTGTACATACTTCTACAGGGTGGTTCAAAAAAGCACGTGTGGATCGGGATGATTTTTTTATATGGAACACCCTGTATATTATTCCTTTGTTACATGGAGATTTAAAAAATGAATATTTTTAATATTTAAGGTATTTGAAAATTTTTAACGGTTTCGCAAATATTCAAGTTTTAATTACATATACCGGGTGCGTCTCAAAAGGTGGCTCACCCCTATAACTTTTTTATTTTTTTAGATAAAAAAAACGAGACTTGGTATGTTAGTATATGACATAAATTAGGATTGATTGACGTATTCAATTGTTTTCGGTCACTTCCTGTTTCACCGGAAATGACTATGAATTATGATTTTTTTTACTTTATTCGATAGAAAATGACATTCTGAATCGAATGACATATCATGTCAACTTTTGACATATTCGCTCAAAAACAAATTGCATTTTAAATCTCAATCTAGAGTGCCATGGCTGTGTTAAAAACACTAATTTTTAATCAAGGAGCCTTGGAAAAATAGATTCGATCATCTAATGTTTTTAGTGTCTTGTCCTGGCCGGTTAAAAGATGCCCAAATCGTATTTTTAATCATATCTCAATTTTTTCAAAGGGAACGAGGGTGGCTCATTAGCATATATGGAAAAAGCATTTATTTACGAATAATTTGATACCACACACTTGGTATTTCGAGTCAAATTTTCGTTATGAACCGTAGGTTACAATGCCAAATAAACCATATGCGAAAATGTCAAAAGCTAACATATGATAATATATGTCATTCTATTCAGAGTGTCATTTTCTATCGAATAAAGTAAAAAAATACCGAGGGTGCCATTTAAAAATCAAAAAAAGTTGTAGTCATTTCCGGTGAAACCGGAAGTGAACGAAAACAATTGAATATGTCAATCAATCCAGATTTATGTTATATACTAACATACCAAATCTCGTTGTTTTATCTGAAAAAATAAAAAAAGTTATAGGGGTGAGCCACTTTTGAGACGCACCCGGTATATAGCTCTTTCAATGATAAATACCAGACTGATATTGACACAAGATACAAATTTTGAAATACTTTAAATATAAAAAATGTTCATTTTTTAATTCTCCATGTAACAAAGGAATAGTATACAGAGTGTTCCATTTAAAAAAAATCTCATCCCGATCCACCCATACTTTTTTGAGCCAGCCTGTAGAAGTTAAAATATTCTCCTGAAATACATCCTAACATACTTTAGGTTGGCACTTATATAAAATTCCTAAAATGGGCACCCTGTGTATTCTCCCTATTCATAAATAGGTATATTTCTTTTGAAGATTTTCTCAAATAACCCAAGATCTATTACAGATATCGAAAAACGGTTTGCGGCAGTCAATTCTACCTAAAATGAACTATCAGTGAGCATATTTTCTGACAAATATTTGAAATTATAACTTATGGAATATTTTTCTTAACCGTTCCTAACGAAAATTTGACTCGAAATACCAAGTGTGTGGTATCAAATTATTCATAAAAAATGCTTTTTCCAAATATGCTAGTGACCCACCCTGATTCTATTTGAAAAAAATTGAGATATGATTAAAAATACGATTTGGGCATTTTTTAACCGGCCAGGACAAGAAACTAAAAACATTAGACGATCAAATCTATTTCTCCAAGGCTAGGCTCCTTGATTAAGATTGAGTGTTTTTAGCATAGCCATGGCACTCTAGATTGAAATTTAAAATACGATTTTTTATTAAGCGGGAATGTCAAAAGTTGACATATGATATGTCATTCTTGTCAGAATGTAATTTTCTATCGAATAGAGTAAAAAAATACCGAGGGTGGCATTTAAAAATCAAAAGTTGTAATCATTTCCGGTAAAACCGGAAGTGACCAAAAAAAATACGATTAGCTATTAAATAATAATTATGCAGTCGGATCTTAGTCCTATAATAGTTATTATTTTAAATTAAAAAATAATTATTTATAGTATTCATGGGACATAAAATATCGACGGCCAAATGTACCTTTTTACCTTATAAATTCCAAAAAAATATGTAGAACTTTTTTATTACTAAATTCAGATTTATCAGATTATTATATTGGATACTTTCTAACAAACATTTTTTTGGACTAAAACCAATTTATAAAATTTTATGATTTATAAAACTTTATAATTTATATAACCTATATTTTTCATTTATTTTGAGACATTTTATTCAAAAATTAAATTAGAAAACCTTTAGATTAAATCCATTTATTTTTAATCTCGTCTTGACTCACTCTCATGGAAAACTAATTTAATATCATTTAAAAATAATCGTATTATTTACTTTTTCCTTTGTTTTGCCACTTGTGATAACAGCTGATAAATATTTGAATTTTTTAAATTTATTACCAACCAAATGTTGAACTAATTATTTTAATCATTTTGAATTGCTCCGTATAAGTACTTGTACATTTACAACACTAAGAAATGACCTCTTAAGCTTGGAATACAACTTACAGGAAAAATATTTTCGATATAAAGTTTGCTTCATTAAATGGATGGTTTTTAAAAGGTTTCCCTGTTCCAATTTTATAACTGTCCATAATTGTCCACAAAAATATTGTTCTAACTTCACACTACCTATTCTAAAAGATAATGTACTACTGAATGAATGGCAACCTTATCATTGTCTTATTAAGAATCGTATAATTAGTAGTTTAATCAAATAACATAATATCAAATAAATATAGATTACATATACACTGATTTATATTCAAATATAAAGCAAATGTAGAGGTAATATGGCGTAAAATGTAGAGGTAATATTTGGAAGTAAATACTTTTTGGAGAAGAACTATACCGGGTGCATCTCAAAAGTGACTCACCCCTATAACTTTTTTATTTTGCAGAAAAAACAACGAGATTTAGTATGTTAGTGTATGACATAAATTAGGATTGATTGACGTATTCAGTTGTTTTCTGTCACTTCCGGTTTTTCCACGAAATGACTACAACTTTTAATTTTTAAATGGCACCTTCGGTATTTTTTTACTTTATCCGATAGAAAATGACACTCCGAATAGAATGACATATCATATGTCAACTTTCAACATTTTCGCATATGGTTTGTTTGAAATTCTAACGTGCGGTTCATACCGACAATTTGACTCGAAATTCGAAATACCACGTGTGTGGTACCAAATTATTTGTAAAAAATGCTTTTTCTCAATATGCTAATGAGCCACCCTCGTTCCATTTGAAAAAATTGAGATATGATTAAAATTACGATTACATCTTTTAACCGGCCAGGATAAGACACTCAAACATTAGATGATTAAATCTATTTTTCCAAGGCTCCTTGATTAAAAATTAGTGTTTTTAACCCAGCCATGGCACTCAAGATTGAAAATCAAAATACAATTTTATTTGAGCGAATATGCCAAAAGTTGACATATGGATATGTCATTCGATTCTGAGTGCCATTTTCTATGGAATAAATTAACAAAATACCGAGCATTTAAAAATCACAGCATTTAAAAATCATAAACAGCATTTAAAAATGTTCCATTTGAAAAAATTGAGATATGATTAAAATTACGATTACATCTTTTAACCGGCCAGGATAAGACACTCAAACATTAGACGATTAAATCTATTTTTCCAAGGCTCCTTGATTAAAAATTAGTGTTTTTAACCCAGCCATGGCACTCTAGATTGAAAATCAAAATACAATTTTATTTGAGCGAATATGCCAAAAGTTGACATATGGATATGTCATTCGATTCTGAGTGCCATTTTCTATGGAATAAATTAACAAAATACCGAGCATTTAAAAATCACAGCATTTAAAAATCATAAACAGCATTTAAAAATGTTCCATTTGAAAAAATTGAGATATGATTAAAATTACGATTACATCTTTTAACCGGCCAGGATAAGACACTCAAACATTAGACGATTAAATCTATTTTTCCAAGGCTCCTTGATTAAAAATTAGTGTTTTTAACCCAGCCATGGCACTCTAGATTGAAAATCAAAATACAATTTTATTTGAGCGAATATGCCAAAAGTTGACATATGGATATGTCATTCGATTCTGAGTGCCATTTTCTATGGAATAAATTAACAAAATACCGAGCATTTAAAAATCACAGCATTTAAAAATCATAAACAGCATTTAAAAATGTTCCATTTGAAAAAATTGAGATATGATTAAAATTACGATTACATCTTTTAACTGGCCAGGATAAGACACTCAAACATTAGACGATTAAATCTATTTTTCCAAGGCTCCTTGATTAAAAATTAGTGTTTTTAACCCAGCCATGGCACTCTAGATTGAAAATCAAAATACAATTTTTATTTGAGCGAATATGCCAAAAGTTGACATGTGGATATGTCATTCGATTCTGAGTGCCATTTTCTATGGAATAAATTAACAAAATACCGAGCATTTAAAAATCACAGCATTTAAAAATCATAAACAGCATTTAAAAATCAATAGTTGTAGTCATTTCCGGTGAAACCGGAAGTGACTGAAAACAATTTAATAAGTCAATCAATCCTAATTTATGTCATATACTAACATACCAAATCTCGTTTTTTTATCTAAAATAAAAATAAAAAAGTTATAGGGGTGAGCCACTTTGAGACGCACCCGGTATATGATATGTAATATGCGATTTCTGAAGGCGCGTATTATCACTCTTTTTTGACTACCTTCACTTTATGTATCTTGTTAGCGCCACTGTGGTTATCTGGTGAACCATTATTTTCCCCTTTTAGGTGTTTTATGTATTATATAACTTTTGTATTTCTGCTACATTCTTTGATTGACTCTGAAAAAACAATAAAAAAATCACAGGAGTGTCACAGAAATCTTTCATCTGATTCGTTTATGTGTTAATAATAGTGCTAAACAAACTTTATTATCAGCGAGGATGGAGATAAGTAATTATGACCTTTAAAATTCGTTTACAATTAAAATTTGTATGTCATTCTCTTTATTATTCGTCTGGGGTTTCTCACTTTGCTATGAACTGGCGCACTTCCTCATTCCACCGAAAGATGTCGCTTTTCTCTTGCTAACATTGGTCCCTTCTTAATTTTGATCGTCTCGATCGAAATTACGGTCCAGATAAACTACTTTCTTCTAGGGCTGCCTTGTGAAACCGGCACGCAACATCATTTATTCTCTTCATGGCTATACAGAGTACTAGAAATTCGAGGTACGAGCATGATTAAATTGGGGCAAAGTTTCGCTTTGGGATGTTTACTAAGATGTCATCAAAAAAGTTTTCAAAATTTCAACGATTGCTGAGTTTTTTCAAAATAAATTTTATTTTTTCCTGTCGTTACTTTTTAGAAAATAAAAAAACTAATTGCACATTCTCATAGCTACTTTATTAGGGCTATCTGATGGTATTTTTAGATTTTCAAATTAGCTGACAATTTGTGAGATACAGAGGCCGACTGATTTTTTTTAACTACGGACCTGCATTTTTTATTTCAGTTTTGAAAGAACTCAGTCTCCTGAGTACAATGATATGCCACACTTTATACTTTTTTTTGTTTCGGACATTTGAACACAATTTATTTAAACTAATTTCAAGTCCGGTTCTGTTTTTTTTTAAATATTTAATCTATTCATTGTTACAATATTGATAAGCCTTCAAACTTTACAATGTCGTGGAGTAAAACATTGAATACGGAAAATCAAATGCAATAAAAAATTCAAACCAAATCAATAGTTTTCAACATTTACAATAAAGAGTACAAAATGCATTCGGAAGTATAAGAAGAAGATAGGTTCAAAGAGCTATAAAAAAAATTGAACGAATAATAAATTTGTGCAATAGGAAGGGTGGTAACCCTTTCAAACATGTAGAGCATTAAAAAGTAGTTTGTAGAAGTTGATTTATTTATAATAACGACGATTAATATTATGCATATTATTAGATCGTACACTGAGATTTCAAATTCACAATAAAAAAAATTAAAAAAGTGTGGCATGTCGTTGTACTCAGGAGATCGAGTTCTTTCAAAACCCGAAAGAAAAAATGCAGTTCCGTATTTAAAAAAATTAAGTTGGCCTCTGTATCTCACAAATTATCACCTAATTTGAAAATCTAAAAATACTATCAGATAGCCCTAATAAAGTGGCTATGAGAATGTGCAATTATTTTTTTTGATTTTCTAAAAAGTAACGACATGAAAAAATAAAATTGATTTTCAAAAAATCCGTTTTTACCAAAAAACTCAGCAATCCTTGAAATTTTTAAAACTTTTTTGATGGCATCTCGGTGAATATCTCAAGGCGCAACTTTGCCCCAATTTAACTATCTTTGTATATATTTCGGTTTCCGAGATACTAATGCTCGTACCTCGAATTTGTAGCACCCTGTATAAGGTCCTTCTCATGTTGAAAGTAATTTTGAAGACCTTTCTTTCTTGCGCTACGGGTTATACAGCCATGCCATTCATAGGACGTTGCAAAAGGAATCACGGGAATAGCCACGGAACGACGGGTATCCAACAAATCTTTAGACTGGTGGACAAACTCACCACGGCAGAGACAGGCGAAGAAGTTCATAGTAGAACATTCGCCAAAATTTACGGTAGACCTAGCAAGGTAGTATAAGCAAGGACAGAAAGACAGTCAAAGCTGTAGTGGGTTACTAACTGGCATTGGCGTAACTACAGGGGTGCCGCCGCCCCCCTCCCAGGTGCTGCTGGGCACCCCCCAGAGAAATCCTGAATTATGACTCTTGGCTACGTATTAATTTTTATTTGCTTGTGATGCAGTAAAAATGACGTTTTCTAGTTTTGTTTAGTTAATATTATTTTGTTGTGTTCAAAAAATGTGTTAATTTTCATTTTTTTAGAAAATTTGTAGGTATTTAATTAATTTACGGGAACACGGTTTGATAACCAAGTCTATAAAATTTATTGATAGAGAAATTCATGTAAGTGTTATATTTAAAAAATGTGTTTTTTAAAATTATTTAAAAAAAACAAAAGCTCTAGGACCCCCGGGGTCAATCCCAGGCCCCCCCCCCAGGTTAAATTGGGGGGGGGCTATTAGTTAACATTAGTTACGCTAATGCTCCCCCCTACTTGTAGAGAGCGCCACCTACATATTTTTTAACTGCTATGAATAGTAATAACTTTCCCCTCTGTACCTGTATAAAACTATTGAGTAAAAAAATATGCATTTACGACGTTTTTTACGTAAAAAAAGGTCTCTTTATAAAAATCGCTACGAGTAATAGTTCTCAAGATATTTGGTTTCAAAATTATCAATACCTGCCCAACTAACAATTTCTGTTTTAAAAATGTCGTAAGAACGTTTACAGAACTATTTTTATAAAATAACAGTATTGCGATAAACATTTCAACAACGTTTATACAATGCTTATAAATCCAAAAAGGGCGCACTTTTGTGCAGCAATTTAGTTCTTTCATTTGTTTTATTATAGTTTCCATAGCTTTTACCGGACAATTACATAAACATTAACAAAATTATTATAAAATATTATTTGGAACAATTACCAAACACTTTTATTGAAAACAGTTACAGAGTTAAACAGTTTAACAAAATTATGACAATTATACAACAATTATCGAACTAGAATAAAACACTTTTATAAAAGTTGTTTTGTTATACCAGCGGTTCCGATTTTGCTTCGAAGAACACTATGAAAGGATGCTTTTGTTGTTCCCACAGAGCATAATTTATTTTTTAATCATCGTTCTGAGAACAAAAAAGCTAAATATCGCGTCTTCTGTCACAATTTTAAAAACATAATATATAGTTATGTCTGAATGTACACCAGCCATATTGCATTTAGCTCTGACCATAAATAGCCAATCTTACAGTTGAGGGTTGGAACCTTTGGTGTTACACAGCAAAATAAAAACACTAAATCACCACAATACACCAAAACACTTTTACTTTTACACTGGACGCGCGTTTCGCTAACCATGTTAGCATCATCAGCAGATGATTATAAACTAGTTTATAATCTATATATATATATCTGTTTATAATAATATAATATAATAAGTTTATAATCATCTGCTGATGATGCTAACATGGTTAGCGAAACGCGCGTCCAGTGTAAAAGTAAAAGTGTTTTGGTGTATTGTGGTGATTTAGTGTTTTTATTTTAGCCAATCTTAGCTAAGAAATTCGGTATGCCATCTGAGGATTGATATTTTACTGCGAGGAAAATTTTTCTGTATAATGTATGGTATTTAAATAGCAAAATTTTCAAGCGCCTTAAATATGTTATCTCTTTTTGAGTTTAAAGAGAAATAATCAAAAATACTATTTCGTGTTTTTCTTTCATTTGGCCCGTACTGTAATAAAATACCCTAAAGGATCCATCCTAGACCACTATATAAATACTTAGACTAGAGAGTTGTGGCGTTTTATTCTTGGAAAATGATTTTTTTTAATGCGTTTAAAAATGGCCGTCGGAAGGTGAAGTGGAAACAACGAAAACAATGGCTTCCATGTTATAAAATACCTTTATCACCTTCGGTGTTCGTATAAAATGTTTTTGATCTTTAAGAAATTTTTATAAAATATTTAAATTATAAGCAATGTTTTAGTTAAACAGGGGCGTATTTCAGAAAAAAATAACCATATTATATACGTGTAGATAAAAGAGCTTATGTAATATTCGCACTAACTCTATGCATTTGTCAAATTTCGAGTTGAAGTCTTGGCCTTACTGATACTGATAAGATACAAAATGAAGGAATCTGTCATGACATACAGCGTGCCGCCACTTTCAAAATAATATTTCACAAACTTTCTTATTGGGCCTTTGCACTAACATCATTAAACTTTTTTAATGCTTGACATGTGTCAATTTTCGTGTTGCAATATTGGCAGTACTAATAATGATAACGTACTCACAAAATGAAATAAAAATTTCCTATGTTCCTATGGTAATGCTTATTTTTGTCCTAAATGCCAATAAGTTTTTGATGTAATATCAATGTTTGTTTTTCGTAATTAAAAGTCCACAAATTTCGCATATGTTTTTGAAATCGCTAATAATTACATATAAAAATGCGGGCATTTTCTTTACCTTTTAACGTACGAATAAAAAATCGCACAGTTTTCGGTGTGATTTGATTACAGTAGGTACATAATATGCACTGTGTCCGGAAAGTAACGGATAGATTAAAAAAGATATCACGTGATACTTCAATTTTTTAAATAGAAAGCCCTGTATATTTTGATGAATATCGATAGAGCTCGTTGAGACGAATTTAATGACATAAGGGTTGATAGGTCTATTTTGAATGGTTGCTAAGAAACAAACCTTGATGGTTGCTAAGAAAAAAACAAAACGTCAGATTGAAAATCTAATAACATCAACTTGTAGAACAGGAAAAGTAGCAATGGGAATGTGAAATTTGCATTGACGCATATCTTTTCAAATAAAATGAAACAAAAAATAAGATTGAAATCGGGAAAATTCGGTGTTTCCCAAATATCTTCGGAATTTTATAAATTTTAAAACATCATATTGCAGGATTCAGCAAGGCGCAACTTTTCTCTAATTTAACCATCTTTGTAACTCTTCTGGTTTATGAGATCCCTGTAGTGTGCAATGCACACTGCGCATTCTTATATGGGACACCGTGTATGTACGTAATTTACTGCATCTTAATATCCTGTGTTTTTGTCTATTTTAGATATACATAGTGGTCAAGGGTAAAAGAAATTTACCTAACTCCAGCGCTGATATCTCTCAATAGGTTTTTGCTTTCGTTTTCATACGTCCGCGTCCCTTTAGGTGGCGCATAAGCCCGGGAGTAAATAGTCGC